GCCAATCAGCTTTATAACTTATAGAGATCTCTGTGTGATTGATTTTCCTTGGAGCTTGCCGGCTGTGGGGTACCAGGGGGGACAGGTACCCCAACAAGCTGGCCCTCGTGCTAACAGTGGTTACAGCTGGAAAGCATGCCAAGCCTCCCTCAGCCCTGGGGCTTCATTCCACCTGAGGGATGTGTGAGCAGAACACTACTGGCTTCTATTTCCACAAGAAGGAGCCGCAAACTTTGGAAGGAGAATCTAGACAGGAGTCCCCCTTTTCTCCCTACTCTCTGTTCTGCCCTAAACTCAGGGCAGTGGGCCCTGCTACTGTCTGTACCCAAGGCCTGCCTTAGCCAGCACTGCCTACCACAAGGCCATGAAAGGATATCTAATACAGGGTTCAGCCTTGGGTACCCCACTTGCTCAGTGATGTCGCCTCTCCAATGCCAGACAGGGATGAACAGAGGCCAAGGTTTCTATTGTCTTCTCCCATAGTTGGCTTGGATTGAGGCCTGGGAGATGTGGTGTGTACTCATCAAATGCCAGCAGCCCTGGTTAGTGGGGCTACTTACATCCCAGAAAGAGAAGACAGGTTGTTTCCGGTGAACAGGCTCAATGATCTGATACTCCCGGAAGCCCCTGAGGCCTTGGCGGAACATCTTACACACGCGGATCATGATGATTATGTCCATGACGAGCTGGTACAGCCCCTGTAGAAACAGAGCAAACCAGGGCAATGAAGTCATCTGCCCTTGGGCTGGTCAGCCCTACAAAAGGCGGAATCAAAGGAGGTGAAAGGCAGGGATATGTTGGAACAGTGGTTACACAGTCAGAAGGTTTGTTTTGGGTAGTGGGGCTGGGGTGCTGGGATTAAGCCTGGGGCCTTGAGCATGTGTTCTACTGCTCAGCATCCACCCCATCCTCTCAGGAAGTTTGAAAGCCAGTTGAAATTTTGTGGGTAGCTTTAAACTGTCCCGGGCTGGGTGTAAACACTCAGGGCATCCTCCCTACCAGGAGCCAATTGTTAAACAGTCACAATGCATTAACTTTTATTTTTGTGGAGAAAATAAAGAATATAACTGTATGTGTGTGCATGTGTGTGCATATGTGTGTGTATGTGTGTGCATGTGTATGTATGTGTGTATATGCGTGTGTGCATGTGTGTATGTATGCGTGCACGTGTGTGTGTACGTGTATGTGTGTATATGTGTGTGCATGTATGTGTGTGTGTGTGTGTGTGTGTGTGTGTGTGTGTGTGTGTGTGCTGGGACAAGGGTGGAATAAAAACTGTGGAGTCAGATGGATCTGAAGGGAAAATGATCAATAAGATTAAAAATTGCTAACTTTAAACATGGAGAAAAACATCACAAAAGAAGGGTGAGAGACCTTAGAAGCAGAGACATCAACACCTCGAGTCTTTGGAGCCTTGCAAAAGGAATGCAGGCCTGCCGACACTGATTCTTGTTTTGTTTATTAGTGTGCTGTTCATTTGCCTGCTTATTTGCTGAATAAATCTAGGGCCTTGCATATGCTAGTTAAAGACTCTACACTGAGCCATATTCCGAACTTCTGACATCATGATTTTAGCCTAAGACGATCTCTACTATATTGAAGGCTAATACATCTGCATTATTTTAAGTCATTAAATTGTAATGGGGCCAGAGAGATGCCTGGCTCAGTGGTAAGGGCACTTGATGACAAACCCACAGCCTTGAATTTGACATCCAGACCTAAAGGGTGAAAGGGGAGAACTGACTGGTATGACCTGTCTCTGACCACGTGGGCAAAGAGGCATACACAGACAGGAGCACACACAAATAAATATACACATATATAAATAAATGCAACTTAAAAATTAAATTGTGGTGATTTGTTACATCAACAATAGAAAGCTATTATCTCATCTGAGCCACCTGTCATTTCCCTGAGGACATGGAATTGAACTGAGGACAAACAGGCCATCCATCCCAAACTGAACTGGGGAGTCAGGGCAGCATCTACTAGACAAGCAAATGTGAAGAATGGGTGGGAAATCCAGAATGCAGAACAATCTAGAGGTCAAGCACTATTCCATGCTTTCAGAAAGTCAATCTCCCAAGGAATGCAGGAATGGAGGATGTTTTCGATTCTAAAGAGACATTTGTTGAGCCTTCGAGTCCATGATAACAAACTACAAAGGGCCTGGGAGGGAAACTCAGTAGCAAAAGTGAGTATTTGCCATGTGAGTATGCCATGTGAGTATGAGACTCAGTCTCCAGAGTCCACATCAAAAAGTCAAGTGTGGTAGCCCGTGTTAGTGATACCAGCTCAGAGAAGATGTCGACAGGCCAGATCCTGGGCCTCACTGGCCAGCCAGCGTGGCACGCTCCAGGCCAATAAGAGACCATGTCAGGAAAAACAAAGTAGACAGTGCTTCAGAACTGACCTCTGACCTCTACACACATGAACACACATAGGCACCCACCCTGATACACATTTTTTTTTAAAGAATGGTTGCACTGTGTAGCCCCAATTGTCCTAGAACTTGCTATGTAGATCAGGCTGACTTCAAACTTACAGAGATCCACCTGCCTCTGCCTCCCAAACGTGAGATTAAAGGCCTACGATACCACACCCTACCTACACAGACTTTAACATTTGTGTTTTTGTTTGTTCTGTTTAATGTGTATGGGCATTCTGACTGAATGTGTGTCTGTGTGCCCTGTGTGTGTGTGGTGCCCACAGAAGCTAGGAGACGGTGTAGGATATCCCTGGGACTGGAATTGTCAATGGTTATGCTGTCTGTAGACGCTAGGGGTCATCCAGAAGAGCAGTCAGTGCTCTTAACTACCAAGCCATTTTGCTCCCCCACTAACTCCATACCATGCACAAACACAGTTTTTTTTTAAAGCAATGACACATTTGAGGGCTGCAGATGTGACTTATTTGGGCTTGTCCAGCATATACCTAGGCCTGGGCTTAATCCCCAGCGCCCAGTGTTATATGAAACTGGACATGACAGTATATGTCACTTGGACAGTAGACACAGAAGGACCAGGAGTTACTCTACTACACAATGAATTCCAGGCCAGATTCTTTCAAAAATAAAATAAAATAATAACAACAACTATAAAGACCTTTTAAGAAGCAAACAAAGAAACTAAGTAAGACTATATTGTACATGACTTCAGTACATTTGGCATTTTTTTCTTTATTTTTTTTTTCTCCCAAGGAGGGTACCATGTAGTCCAGATTGGTTTCAAACTCGATATGCAGCTAACGATAACCTTGAACTTCCAATCCTAACTCTGTCTCCCGAGTGCCTGGATTATAGTATGTGCCACCACCCCTAGTCTATGGGGTTCTGGGACCTAATCCAGGGTCTCATGCATGCTACGCAAGCACTGTATTCACTGAGTACAATTTATCATGTTTTTAGTATTATACTGGTACTGTAGTTATATGGAATAGTGTGTTTTTAATTCCATAAAAATATGCAATTTGTGGGCAAGGGTTGGATCAGCAGGGAAAGGTGCTCTGCCAGCAAGTCTGATGGCCTGAGTCCAATTCTGAGAACCCACATAAAGGGGAAAGGAGATGAAATTTCACAAAGTTGTCCTCTGACCAACCCCCCCCCCCATGGCACGCACCTTCTCCTTCTACAGCACATGCATGCACATACATGTGCATATACACACAGGAGTCATGTTTAAGGCTCTTACATTTTTATTTGTTTATTTTAAGATTCATTTTATTGCCAAGTGGTGGTGCACACCTTTAATCCCAGCACTTGGGAGGCAGAAGCAGGTGGATCTCTGAGTTCAAGGTCAGCCTAGTCTATAGAGCGAGCTCCAGGACAGCCAGGGCTACACAGAGAAAATCTGTCTTGAAAACCAAACAATTCATTTTGTTTGTGTATTTTATGTACACGGGTGTTTTGACAGAACACCAGCAGGGGGCTGTGAATGCTTCGAGGCACAGCCTGCCACCATCCACCAGCGGCCTCACCCACACCTGCTTCTTCCTTCCTCGAGGCCTGCTCCTTCAAATCTTCCACTCAGGGATCCCCTCCCAGAGCCTGTGGCCTGCCTCACCTCTTTCACCTTCATGAACTGCCAGCTACGAGACTTCACACTTCTCTTCATGGTTCCTAAATTGGCAAAGGACACAACTGGGCCCTTTGCCTTTCACAGGGAGGACAATAAATCTTCTCCTACGAAATCGTTAAAGTAGAAAGAAATAGCCCCTTCAACAGCAAGGTACATTCTGCCAAGAGCTGCTGGAAGCCTGATTCCGAGAAAAATCTTATTCCGTGACTCTACTGATGTCACAAGCGAAAATTCTGGAGTGAAGAGGAGGCAACTTATGATACGGAATCTAGTATTTATTGAGCTATCATGGGCATTACCCTTACAACCCCCATGACGGACCTTAAACCCAACCCTACTCATGAAGACCCTGGGGCTCAAAATATCTAACTGACTGCCAGAGTCATCAAACCATCTTGAAGAAGGTAAAAGCTTTTCAGCTACAGGTAAGGACATTCAACACTCAGCGATCCGGTGTCTGAAGAGACACTAGGGAATGGGCCCATGGTTTTGTCCCAGAGGTTGGGTTAAATCAGTACAAGCAGGGAATCCTCCAAACAACTTCAAGATCAAATGCTGAAAGGACCTTGGTAAAGTAGATGACTCTGTGGTCCTGAGGGTGGAGAAGAAAAAGACGGCAGTTACCGTCCAACCCTCTCCTAGGGAGCTACACTTCCCAGTGACAACAGCTCTTGCCTTAACTTGTTTTTGCGTTAAGATCTTCAGTGAAAAGCTGAACTTGCAAGCATCACATGACATACCACCCTTTCTTTCCAGGTACATCTGCAGTCCACCCCCAGCCAACAGAGAAAATAAAGAGCACTGAATGCAGTGAAGACAGAATAAAGGCCTAGGCTGCAGGGCTGTGTGTGCCCCCTGGCAGAGCAAATGCCTAGCATGCATCTAAAGGAGTCATAGTAGACCTTATTCATAACACACACACACAGTGAGGGAGAGAGGAGAGAGAGGGAGAGAGAGGGAGAGAGAGAGAGAGAGAGAGAGAGAGAGAGAGAGAGAACTAAAAAATCAGAATAAGTTCTGTGTGCTGGGTGTGGTGGCACACACCTTTAATCCCAGCACTTGGGAAGCAGAGGCAGGTGGATCTCTGTGAGTTAGAGGCCAGCCTGGTCTACACAGTGAATTCCAGGACAGCCAGAGCTGTAACACAGAGAAGCCATCTCAAAAAAAACAAACAACAAAAAAAAAAGTTGCCATGGTCATGGTGTTTCTCTACAGCAATGAAACCCTAACTAAGCACACTTTTACCACTGTCTAGGAGTCTGTAATTGTTTTATCTACAGGAGTTATGGTGGCATTGGAGAGATGCCTTAGCAGATAAGAGCACTCACTACTCTTGCAGAGGACCTGAGTTTGGTTCCCAGCACCCACATGGTGGCTCAAAATCTGCAACTCCAGTTCCTGGTGATCCCACACCCTCTTCTAGCCTCTGTGTGCTTCTGCACATACATGGTAAATATGTGTGTGTGCATGTGTATACATACATATATATGCACATACAAATATGCACATCACACATACACAGAAAGACAAAAAGAGCAGTTATGGTTAAAAAAAATAAACATTACAAAATAAGAAAAAAGAGGAGGTAAGAGACACGAAAAGTAAATGTCAGACGAAAGTCACAAACTAGAGAGACAATTAACATGAAACAGATGCTAATCATGACCAACAAAGAGCTCAAAAGGCTTGGCACATTTTAAAACAAGAAAGCAATGACCAAAGCAAGGGCACAATAGTCCATAGATGAGGTAAATGAAAGTGAAAGACATTTCAGAAACATCAAAACCACTCATCTTGCTGACAACAAAAGATAGCACTGCAAAGAACAACCAAAGGAGCTAGAAATAAATTAGAGAGATTGACAGGATCCTGGGATGTAGCATCCTGTAGACAGCCTGCCTCGTACATACAAGGTTCTGGGTTCCATTCCCAGACCTGCAAAAGAAAAACATTAAAGGAGCCAATACGTACGGGAGTGAAGAGAGAGGAGAGAGATGTGAGGTTAAGGATTCTTTGATTTTTTTTTCTTTTTTGTGGTATTTAGGATTAAACCAAGGGCTCATTAAGGAAGCTCTGACTGTCAAGTGCTTGCCCAACAAGCACAGAGACTTGAGCTTGATTTAAAAAAATAAAAAAATAAAAAAACCAAAACCAAGCTACATTAAAATAAAAAAAACCAGGTGGTAGCACATGATAGCCATCCCAAAGCCTGCAGGAAGGCAGAGATCGGTGGATTCTTGAGGCTTGCTGGTCTCTTCTGACTTCTGCATGGTGTTCAGAAATACCATGCAAAACACCCATATTCATAAAAATAAATAAATCTTAAAACAACAATAACAAGATAGATAGCTCCCAAGGAATGACACCCAAGCTTAACCTTGGTTCTCCATATGTTCCCCCACACACCTGCACCTGTATACACATGGGCACACACATGGGTACACACACACACACACACACACACACACACACACACACACATGCGCGCGCGCACGCACAACCCCATTAAGAGGGGTAGACAGACGGCTCAGTAGTTAAGAGCAATGGCTGGTCTTCTATACCATTCTATGCCCAGCACCCACATGGTGGTTCACAACCATATATAACTCCAGTTCTGGCCTCTGAGAGTATCAAGAATATATGTGTGCCAGGTGGTGTTGGCGCACACCTTTAATCCCAGCACTCAGGAGGCAGAGGCAGGCGAATCTCTTGAGTTTGAGGCCAGCCTGGCCTACAAGAGCTAGTTCCAGGACTGGCTCCAAAGCTACAGAGAAACCTGTCTCAAAAAAAAAAAAAAAAAAAAAAAAAGATATACATGAAGAAAAAACACCCTTAAGTTAAAAAAAAAAAAAACTAAAAAGCAAGAGACTTGCCTAAAATGGAAGTAAGCGAAAGGAAAGAAAGACAAAAGTATCTTTCAAGGATTTATTTTTAATTATGCGTAAGTACGTGGGGAGGTGGGTAAGTGCACTAGAGTGCAGGTGCTGTGGGGTCCAGAAGGGGACACTGGAGTCCATGGAACTGGAGTTCCATGTGGTTCTTAGGCCCTTGAAGTGGGTTCTAGGAACGGAACTAGGGTACTCTGCACTGGTAGTGCATGCTCTGGGGCTGGAGAGGTGGCTCAAAGGTTAAGAGCACTGCCTAATCTTCCAGAGGACCTGAATTCAATTCCCAGCAACTATGTGGTGGTCTGCAACCATCTGTAATGAGATCTAGTGCCCTCTTCTGACATGCCTAGCAAAATACTGTATGCATAATGCACACTTGTACACAGATATATATGCAGGTAAACTATCCGTAACACATAAAATAGTCAAAGTTCCAAAAAAAAAAAAAAAAGGCAGGCAGTGGTGGCGCACACCTTTAATCCCAGCACTCAGGAGGCAGAGGCAGATGGATTTCACTGAGTTCAGGACAGGCTTCAAAGCTATACAGAAAAACTCTGTCTTGAAAAAACAAACAAACTCTTTTTTGTTGTTGTTTTTTCTAAGTAGGTTTTTCTCTGTGTAGTCCTGGATGTCCTGGATCTCACTTTGTAGACCAGGCTGGCCTCAAACTCACAAAGATCCGCTAAGTACTGTGGCTGAGTGGTGGAATGTTCACCTAGTACACACAAAGGTATGGGTTCTATCCCCAGCACTGACAAGGGGAAGAAAGCAGAAAATGGAATCTCATAGGGAATATTTTTAAAATTTTGCATATGGGTATTTGTCTTATTGTTTTATAGCTATGAAAAGACACCATGACCAAGGCAACTTGTAAAGCATTGAATTAGGAGTTTGTTTATAGCCTCAGAGAATTAATCCATGGTCCTCATGAGGAGAGTGTATGTAGTAACAGGCAGGCAGTCATGGTGCTGGAGAAGTAGCTGAGAGCTATGTTGTAATCCTCAGGCAACAGGCAGATAGGGAACACTGGGCCTGCCATGGGCTTTTGAAACTTCAAAGCCCATCCCTAGGGCAACACCTCCTCAAAGAGGCCACACCTCCTAATCCTTCCCAAAAAGTTTCACTAACTGAGGACCAGGCATTCAAACACATGAACCTTATAGGGTTTCTCACTCACACCACCACATGCCTGCAAGTATGTTTGGGTGTGCCTGGTGCTAGAGGAGGAAAGAAAAGGACATTAGAGACCCTGGAACTGGAGTTATGGATGGTGGTGAAACACCACATAGGTGTTGGGACTCAAACTTGGATCCTCTGGAAGACCAGCCAGTGCTTTTAGCCACTGAGTCAGCTCTCCAGCACCTCACAGGAGATTTTGTTTGCTTACTTTTTTGTTTTTCAAGATGGGATTTCTCTGTATAGCCCTGGCTGGCCTCAAACTCAGAGATATCTGCATGCCTCTGCTTTCCTAGTGCTGGGATTAAAGGCATGAGCCACTACTACCCAGTATCACAGGGCATTTTTATTAGCTAAAGTCACCTGTGCCTCATCTGGATGCCAGCTGGCCCCCTGGAATGATCTATGTGCAAATGAAGTCACAGGACTGAATCTGTTGGAAACCTGAATCTTTGCTATAAAGATTTCTATTTTAGTCACAACTAAACTCACCACTTTGTATAATTAATATATACTAGTATACATTTCCTGTTCATGAAAACTAAAAAAAAATCTATTTACTACTTCACACTAAAGAATAATACCAACCAGGCTTGGTGGGACAATAATTTCAGCACTTGGGAGGCAAAGACAGGAGGATCAATTTGAGTTATGAGGCTAGCCTGGTCTACATATCAAGTTTCAAGACAGCAAGGACTACATAGAGAGACCCTGTCTCAAAAAATATTCATAACACCAACTGGCCATGATGGCATGTGCCCTTAACCCCTGTACTTGAGAGGCAGAGGCAGGCAGATTTCTGTGAGTTCTAGGCCAGCCAGGGTTACATAGTAAGATCTCCTTTCAAATAATAATGATAATAACAATAATAATAATAGCAACAACAGCCAGGTGGTGGTGATGCACACCTTTAATCTCAGCGTGCAGGAGGCAGAGGTAAGCGGATTTCTGTGAGTTCAAAGACATCCTGGTCTACATAGAAAGTTCCAAGACAGGGCTATAGAGAAGCCCTGTGTCAAAAAAAAATTAAATAACAACAACAGGTAGCCTTCCAGATAGCTCAGCGGCTAAGAAAGTGCTTGTTGTGTAATTCTGGCGGCCTGAATTCAACCTTTTGTTGTAGGGTATCTTACTCTTAGCTTTTTGGGGGGAACGCCATCCAGCTCCCAAATACACACACAGAAGTTTATTCTTAATTATGAATGCCCGGCCTTAGCTTGGCTTGTTTCTTGTCAGCTTTTCTTAAATTATCCTGACTACCTTTTGCTCTGGGTTTTTATCTTTCTCTATTTCTGTATACCTTTCTCTCCTTACTCTGTGACTGGCTGGGTGACTGGACCCTGATGTCCTCTCCCTTCTCTTGTTGCTCCTTTCTCATTTCTCCTATTTATTCTCTCTGCCTGCCAGTCCCACCTATCCATGTTCCTGCCTCGCTATTAGCCATTAATCTCTTTATTAGGACCATCAGGTGTTTCAGACAGACACAGTAACACAGCTTCACAGAGTTAAATAAATGCAGTGTAAACAAAAACCATACACCTGGAAATAATATTCCTGACAATCTTTGACACACAAATAAGGGTAGAAGGAGAGAAGCAACTCCACAGAGTTGTCCTTTGACTTCCATTTTAATTACTTCTCTATTGCTATGATAAGACATCATGACGAAGGTAACTTACTAAAGGTGTTTATTTGGGCTTACACTTTCAGAGGGTTAAAGTTCATGATGGCAGAGTAACAACATGGCAGCAGGAACAGCTGAGAGTTCACATCCTGATCCACAAGTAGGAGACAGAGAA